GTGCCTCCGAACCAAGCCAACTCGTTCATCGCGCCGCAGCAGGGGAACGCATACAACCCACCGAGAGGGAACACCCATTACAACTTCGTGAGGTAGAAGACACAACCACAGCACACCAGCCTTCAGATTGAACTTGTGTAAAACCACACACCCGCAGAGACAGGCACACATTATGGTCGGCCATTAAGGGAAAACCTAATTAGACTATTAAACTTCTCCATGTGTGAGAATGCACGACTTGGAGAAGAAAGGCAACAAGAATGAAGCTGTTTCAGATTATAACCCTTCCTTTTTCACACCATTCTTCCCTTTAACTGTCTCTGGGTGTTTCTCAATGTCGAGGAAGGATGCTCCAGAGCCACTATTTCAAGCATGCTACGTCATCGCGTGCCGCCGAAGGACTGTTCCAATGTCCAGCATAGGCTACTTGGAATTATACCGAGGCCGGCGTACTTCGTAGCGAGAAATTTCGAGGCTGCACATGTGTATCCTCCGCGGTCTTAAAATCCCCACAATGCTTTGCGCACGGACCAATCTCCAAATCTTTGGCGGAAATAGCGCTCCATTTAAGCCGCAGCCTCTCATATGACGCACACCTGTTAGCCTGTTCCACCATTCTTTGTTTTCCGAGGCTAGGAAGGATTCTTGCCTCGCGCTTCTGAAGCAAGTGACTCGGAAGACATGTGCTACCAAGCAAGCATCCTCGACATTGAGAAACACCCTCTGTCTGCCTTTCCAAGTACTCTGGGTGTTTCTCAATCTTGAGTACACTTGCTTGGTAGCACATGTCTTCCGAGTGACTTGCTTCAGAAGCGAGGGAGAATCCTTCCTGGCATTTGGAAAACGAAGAGTGGAAAAGGCGAGCAAGTGTGCAGGTGTGCGTCATATGAGAGGCCCCGCCTTACATTTTCCGCCACAGATTTGGGGAAATTGGTCTGTGCGCAAAGCATTGTGGGGATTTTAAGACCGCGGAGTCTACACATGTGCAGCCTCGAAATGTCTCGCTATGAAGTATGCCGGGCTCGGTAGAATTCCAAGTATGCTGGACATTGGATCAGTCCTTCGGCGGCACTCGATGACGTAGTATGCTTGAAATAGTGGCTCTGGAGCAGCCTTCCTTGAGATTGAGAAACACCCTCTGTCTGCCTTTCCAAGTACTCTATATAGGCAAAGAAATTAGGTACTTGTACTTCAGTTGAGTATTTCCTGCATTATCCTAGTTTACACTTTTCCAAGTACATTTCGTTGACATATATTGTACTTTTTAAGTACTGCTACTTTATGTTAATTGCTACAGAATTATGTTAATTAGACAAAATATATATTATGATGATAATATTAATGGTAATAATAATTATACATTTAATAAATGAAAGTGCTTTTCTAAGAACTCAACGACACCCCTAAAAAAACAACAAACATACATACAGAAATACATTTAAAGAAATATCATAAAGTATAGAACGGAAAGCGGTAAGACGAGTTTAACGAGAAGAAGCAAGCTTGATTAATTATTTTGTTTTACTTTAACTTGTAATTGAGTATTTGTACACTGTATTGTTGCTCCTCTCACTGATCTCTGAGTGTTTCCCCCCCCCCCTCTCAGGAAGGTAAAGACTCTGGCAGAGAGGCGTGCAGAGACCTGCGAGGATTATTCTCCGTGCCGTTACTACGCCTACACACACGGCTTCCCGCAGGCCTACCAGAGGTTCATTTCTTATTTTGAAGTTACTTAACTGCATATCATTGTATTGTTATCTTTGATTTTCAGAGAAGGCAAAAGTCCACACATCCTTTACTCAAGTAGAAGTACAGATACTCGTGTTTAAAAATACTCTGGTAAAAGTAGAAGTACTGACTAAACTTCTTTACTCAAGTAAAAGTAAAGAGGCTTTGAAATGTACTTCAGTAAAAAGTACCCATAACTAGCAGCTGTTTTAAAGAGTACCTGACCTCCCTTTATATTAATAGAACAATAATGTCATTGTTAGCTAATGAATGTTTCCATGCTGAACAACGGCAACATGACAACGTTTCCATTGGTCCCTCTTCTTTAGAGAAGACCAGGAAATGATGGATACACGGATCGTGTTCAAATCAATAGGCACGCAATGACTCTAAATAATAATGACCACGCACCAAACACACATTCAGACTAAAGGAACCAGCTGTTTAGAAAATGTGAGAAGTAGAAAGTACAGGTATTTGTGTTCAACATGTAAGAAGTAGGAAGTACAGGTATTTGTGTTCAACATGTATGAAGTAGAAAGTACAGGTATTTGTGTTCAACATGTAAGAAGTAGGAAGTACAGGTATTTGTGTTCAACATGTAAGAAGTAGGAAGTACAGGTATTTGTGTTCAACATGTAAGAAGTAGAAAGTACAGGTATTTGTGTTCAACATGTGAGAAGTAGAAAGTACAGGTATTTGTGTTCAACATGTAAGAAGTAGAAAGTACAGGTATTTGTGTTCAACATGTAAGAAGTAGGAAGTACAGGTATTTGTGTTCAACATGTAAGAAGTAGAAAGTACAGGTATTTGTGTTCAACATGTGAGAAGTAGAAAGTACAGGTATTTGTGTTCAACATGTAAGAAGTAGGAAGTACAGGTATTTGTGTTCAACATGTAAGAAGTAGAAAGTACAGGTATTTGAGTTCAACATGTAAGAAGTAGAAAGTACAGGTATTTGTGTTCAACATGTAAGAAGTAGAAAGTACAGGTATTTGTGTTCAACATGTAAGAAGTAGAAAGTACAGGTATTTGTGTTCAACATGTAAGAAGTAGGAAGTACAGGTATTTGGGTTCAACATGTAAGAAGTAGAAAGTACAGGTATTTGTGTTCAACATGTAAGAAGTAGAAAGTACAGGTATTTGTGTTCAACATGTAAGAAGTAGAAAGTACAGGTATTTGGGTTCAACATGTAAGAAGTAGAAAGTACAGGTATTTGGGTTCAACATGTAAGAAGTAGAAAGTACAGGTATTTGTGTTCAACATGTAAGAAGTAGAAAGTACAGGTATTTGGGTTCAACATGTAAGAAGTAGAAAGTACAGGTATTTGAGTTCAACATGTAAGAAGTAGAAAGTACAGGTATTTGGGTTCAACATGTAAGAAGTAGAAAGTACAGGTATTTGTGTTCAACATGTAAGAAGTAGAAAGTACAGGTATTTGTGTTCAACATGTAAGAAGTAGAAAGTACAGGTATTTGGGTTCAACATGTAAGAAGTAGAAAGTACAGGTATTAGTGTTCAACATGTAAGAAGTAGAAAGTACAGGTATTTGGGTTCAACATGTAAGAAGTAGAAAGTACAGGTATTTGGGTTCAACATGTAAGAAGTAGAAAGTACAGGTATTTGGGTTCAACATGTGAGAAGTAGAAAGTACAGGTATTTGTGTTCAACATGTAAGAAGTAGAAAGTACAGGTATTTGGGTTCAACATGTAAGAAGTAGAAAGTACAGGTATTTGGGTTCAACATGTAAGAAGTAGAAAGTACAGGTATTTGGGTTCAACATGTAAGAAGTAGAAAGTACAGGTATTTGGGTTCAACATGTAAGAAGTAGAAAGTACAGGTATTTGGGTTCAACATGTAAGAAGTAGAAAGTAAAAAGTGGTCAGAAAAATAAGTAGTGGAGTAAAGTACTGATACCAGAAACATGTACTTAGGTACAGTAACAAAGTAGTTGTACTCCACTACTTCCCACCTCTGTTTATTTTTAATTGTATTAATCTGTGTGATTTTTTTACATTTTAATCTTTTATTAGAATTATGGCTTTTTCATTACTATTGTCTTTTTTTTCTTTTTCTGTTGTACCTATATGTTCACTTTGTTTTATGGGGTTTTATGTTGTTGCATCGACTCAGTTGTCTTGTGTCTTATCTGTCAGAGAGAAACCATTATTTATTTAATTTTGACCTCCTTGTGTCTATTAACCTGAGGGGAATTTCTTGTTTATTATTAACTTGTGATGTGTCATTTTGTAAAGCACTTTGAGCTGCATGTGTTGTATGAAAAGTTCTATATAAATAAAGCTTTATTATTATTATTTTAGGTACTTTGCACCCCGAAACGTGCCTCAGACAGCACCCAGGGCGCCGAGATACTGAACAGAAATCCTGCAGAATCACCATCAAACAGTCTGAGGAAGAACGGCGTGCCTTCGATCCACGAATCACAACTTTTATGTAATTGATGTGGTTGTTTTTGTGGCCTCTTCTAAATATCCCATCATTCCACACGTGTAGAAATCCTTTGTGTAATCTCAGGATAGTTTGTATCCACTATTATCACACCTTCACAGCATTTAAGAGCTTTATGGGAAGCACACGGAGGAAGTGTGTCGCTCGCTGTGCACTAACTGTTTCTCACATTATCCTTATTTATCCAGCACTGCTGTCAGTGAGTATCTCCATTGCTTTGAAATAAACAAATATCTAATTTAATTAATCTTGTTAAAGTGATTTATTTGCCACACGAGAGAGTGAACACATTTGGTCCAATTACTGTGACATTTCAGATGAAATTAGCTATTTTCCAAACTTGATGTGTGTTAAAGGGTGGACCTAGAATAGTGTTGATAAAAGTTAAAGGTCACCTATTATGTAAAATCCACTTCTTCATGTCTCTTCTACATCAACATGTGTCCCCTCTTCTTCATGTCTCTTCTACATCAACATGTGTCCCCTCTTCTTCCTGTCTCTTCTACATCAACACGTGTCCCCTCTTCTTCATGTCTCTTCTACATCAACATGTGTCCCCTCTTCTTCATGTCTCTTCTACATCAACATGTGTCCCCTCTTCTTCATGTCTCTTCTACATCAACATGTGTCCCCTCTTCTTCATGTCTCTTCTACATCAACATGTGTCCCCTCTTCTTCATGTCTCTTCTACATCAACATGTGTCCCCTCTTCTTCATGTCTCTTCTTCATCACATGTGTCCCTCTTCTTCATGTCTCTTCTACATCAACATGTGTCCCCTCTGTGGAAAGAGACTCTGAAAGTTTCAGGAACAAAGATTCTCTCTCTTTTTGTCCTGATCCATTTATATAAAAACCTGTCTGAAAATGAGCTGATCAGATTTTGGCCACTTTATGTCATAACGATGTTTTGGCTTGTGTAACCATTAGCCATTAGCCAATCAGCAACCCCCTCCCCCCTCCAGCAAACGTGGATCCGGGTCGGCTGCCACGCCGCTGCAGAAGGTTTAACCGGCTGTTTCCAATGTGCTCCATCCAGGTCTGCTTCTCTTCGAGCGAATCGGCGGACACAAAAAACGACTTGCATGGTGTACGGACCAGCCATTCGTAACTCAATCCCTCCTTGTCTTCCATGTCCTCTAGCATGATGTCCTCTGAAATGACAGGGAAGATATTGTTAACAGTGCAAAAAACACATGGATACTATGGTGTGGTCAACACGCTTGTACAGAAAGACTTGAGTTGATTGCTGTCAAATAAATATATTTTCTGACCTTACCCATGCAGTATTCAGCTGTACTGATAATTTAATTGTAAAGGCTTTGGGATAACAACTTTTGAAACTTCTTCAGGTGCATCAATACAACAGGTGTTGTGAGGTGTTTCAAACATTACAAAAGTACATTGACCAAACTCAACTCTAATTGGTATTTCCATCATGTGTTTTAAAAGAAAGGGTTGTTTTAACCTGATCGTAAATGAAGACATGGGGCTGTTCCAGTATTTTTTTTGGAAACATTTAGAACTACATTGACCAAACTCAAATGTAATTGGTATGTCCAAAATTGGCGAAGTGCACTTTGCTCAGTTGAGTAGTTAAGGTAGCATGCTGATATGTTGTCATTGTTTTGTGCAGCATACTTTAAATTCCATGCACCTCCATTGAATTGCTGTTTCAGATATCTTATGCACGTGAATACAAAGTCACAAGAGAGCCAAACTAAAACAAATACTTGATCACTAAAGCTTCTACAGAGGTATAGATACCATCAGATCATCGTTATGCAGGTATGGACTTTTTGCACTACTTTGTATTTTATTAGATATGTTGCATTGTTGGAGGAGCTCAGGTCAGAAGAATTTCATTGCCATTTCTACACTGTAGCTTTGTGCACATGACAATAAAACATTTGAATTGAATCTGTCAGACAAGATCTAGTGTTCTGCTTACCTAGAGGGATGACTTTCTGTTTTTTGTGCCAGCGGCCGTTCAGGATGATGCTGCCGTACACCAGCATGTCGTTGAACAGAAAGAAAACTTTAGGCTCTGGTTTCCTCCGTCCCTGTTTCATGAGACAACCCTGACCCACCAGAACTCTCCCTGGCTGGCATAGATGCCTCCCTGCCGGGCCGAATGAACTCTCAACGGCTTGGATACGCTTACGGTTCTCCTTCTCAAACGTTACCAGATCCATCATGGTGAAATCATATGTGTAGCACTGAAATCACAGAAGAGCCATCTGTCCCTTGTTTTATACAGGCAGGTGTCGCAATGGGAGTTTCCAAGATTTGATTGAGGACAAAGACGTCACGCAAGAAAAAAACAAAAAAAGAGGGCGGAGTGTGAGGCAGAAAGATTAACCTCCTTTAAAGATTCATATGTTTTTTAAGTTACTTTAACGCGATACATTTTAACCTGTCACCTGATTGTGTGTTGAATTTGCACTATCCTCCTTTTAATGCAAAATTTAATCGTTCTACCTTTAATCCAAATGTATTTTTTACATGTCTACTCCATGCTATTTTTAGCATGCACTCACATCTGCACACTTATGTAAATATATTTAACATGTTCATTCAACAGCTCAAGGTTTTACTGTGATATCTTGTTTCAACAGTTACTTTGTCACTTTTAATTATTATTTCAATTTTTTCACAAAACTAGGGCCACCAGGGTGGGTGGAGGGGGTCTGGAGGACGGGTTTTGGGCTGACAGCCCAGGAGCACAGCGGAGGACCCGGAAGGGATCTCGGGCGGACGGCCCGGGGGCAAGGCAGAAGCCGAGAAGGGGGACTCGGGTGGACGGCCCAGGGGCAAGGCAGAGTCCAAGGTGGGAGACTCGGGCGGACGGCCTGGGGGCAAGGCAGAGTCCAAGGTGGGGGTCTCGGGCGGACGGCCCGGGGGCAAGGCAGAGTCCATGGTGGGGCGAAGGCCACAGCGGGCGAACTCAGGGGGCCGGGCTCGAGGGCGAAGACCACGGCTCTCAGGGGGCCGGGCTCTCAGGGGGCCGGGCTCGAGGGCGAAGACCGCGGCTCTCAGGGGACCGGGCTCGAGGGCGAAGACCAGACAGCTCCGGAGGCCGGGCAGGACCCGGTGTCGGCCGAACAGGAACCGGAGCCGGTGGGACAGGCTTCGGCAGGATCCCCCACGGAAGAGGACCAGGAGTTGGCAGGACCCCCGGCAGAAGAGTTGTCGGCGTGACCCCAGAGGAACAGGACATAGGATTGGCAGGACCCCCGGCAGGAGAGTAGTCGGCGGGACCTCCAACGGGACTGGACATGGAGCTGGCAGGACCCCCAGCGGAACCTCCAACGGCACAGGACATAGTGTTGGCAGGACCCCCGGCAGAAGAGTAGTCGGCGGGACCCCCAACGGGACAGGACATGGGATTGGCAGGACCTCCGGCAGGAAAGTAGTCGGCGGGACCTCCAACGGGACTGGATATGGAGCTGGCAGGGCCCCCAGCGGAACCTCCAACAGCACAGGACATAGGGTTGGCAGGACCCCCGGCAGGAGAGTAGTCGGCGGGACCTCCAACGGGACAGGACAGGACATGGAGTTGGCAGGACCTCCAGCGGAACCTCCAAACGGCACGGACATAGGATTGGCAGGACCTCCTGCAGAAGAGTAGTCGGCGGGACCTCCAACGGCACAGGACATAGGGTTGGCAGGACCCCCGGCAGAGAGTAGTCGGCGGAGCCTCCAACAGGACAGGACATGGAGTTGGCAGGAGCCCCAGCGGAACCTCCAACGGACCAGGACATTGGGTAGGGACTTGAGACGTGACTCGAGAGGGGACTTGAGACGTGACTCGAGAGGGGAACCAAGGGGGACCTACAGAGGGGACTCAAGAGGGGACTCGAGGAGGGACTAGACAAGGGAACTCGAGAGGGAACTGGAGAGGTGACTCGAGAGGGAACTGGAGAGGTGACTCGAGAGGGAACTGGAGAGGTGACTCGAGAGGGAACTGGAGAAGAAACTGGAGAGGGGACTCGAGAGGGACTAGAGATGGGACTAGAAACATGGCCGCTGGGGCCGGAACCATGGCTGTTGGGGCCAGAACTGGGTCTGAAACCATTGGTGCTGGGGCCGGAACCGGGTCCGGAAACATGGCCGCTGGGGCCGGAACTGGGGCCGGAACCATGGCTGCTGGGGCCAGAACTGGGGCTGGAACCATGGCTGCTGGGGCCGGAACCAGGGCCGGAACCATGGCCACTGGGGCCGGAACTGGTGCCAGAACCATGGCTGTTGGGGCCAGAACTGGGGCTGGAACCATGGCTGCTGGGGCCAGAACTGGGTCTGGAACCATGGCTCTTGGGGCTCGGGCTGCTAGCCTGGACTTGCGACTCCTTCTTTTAGGAGCCGTTTGGAGGCTCCGTGGACCTCCAAATGCCAGACGAGTTCCAGAGAACGACTCCTGGACAGGAGCAGGAACTGGGGCAGAAGCAAGGTTTGACTCCAAACGGAACACACCGATGCGTGTGGTGTCATAACGGGAATTGGGAGGCAGGGAGCCAGCATGCCTGGAGCTAGCAGGCAGAGGATAACACACCGAGAGGAAATCCAAAATCCAGCCAGGTAAGAACTTCACCAAGCCTGGCTTCTCCATAGTCATCTGGCACGCCTCTGCCAGAGCAGCCTCTCGCTGCTGAACCCCGGACGCTCCCCTCCATCGATGAGAGCAGTTAGCCAAAAAAAAGGAAAAATCCAATTATTCCTGCTCAAAAGGATCTGCTGGGCCCATATCTGGTTGGTTCGTACTGTTACGGTGGGTGAAGCAAGCAGGACCCAAATGCAGATTACACTGATATTGCCTTTATTTCAAGGATAAAATAATAACTTGGACAAAACAGAACACTCACCGGTGAACTCAGTCACAAACAAAAGACGAACCAACACTGAACACAGGAAGAGACAAGACTAAATACAGGGAGGGGTAATCACAAGACGAGAAACAGCCGGGCAGGGGAGGAGAAACACAAGGGCCACAGGTGAACACAATCAGACAATTAGACACACCAGGGAAACTAACGACAGGGAGGAAAAACACAGGAAGAAGGACCAGACAATATACAAGGAGGAAAATACCCATAACCAGACATACACAACTACAAACGTGACATAACATGAGAATCCTGACAGTTCTTGCATGATGTACTATAACATTTGTATTTCTCTTAATATTTTTTAAATGTAATAACTGTTTTAAAAATAGCTGTTAAAATAGATCTATATTTGTTCTTTTTTCATAAGCTAAATCGCCTTGATGTTTTCACCATATACACCAATGAAAGTCCTTTTTTGTGTTAACCTACATGGCAATAAACCTCATATTTATTGCATTTATCTAGTTTACTTCTAGGTTTGTTAAGATCAAAAAATATATACATTTTGTTTGGATTTGTGTTGTAAAATTAGGCTATTTAAGAAGTTCTGTGAGCAAAGGGTGAAACAAAAAAACTCTTAGACATTAGACTGCAATGAGCATTAATAATAGCATCCATTCTCTAATTAACTACTAACATGCAACATGATGAGATGTTATTAAAAAAAGGGCAAAGATTACAAAGACACAGCTCTAGTTCTGTTTTAATTAACATGTTCTGCTTCCACTGTGTAAACCTTTCTGACACTTTATTGGCAACCCACCCTCTTGTTCTTGGTAAAAATATCTTCCCTCATTTCAAATGACCCTTTCCATAAATGTTCAAACACGCTGTTTTTCAATGTCGCTTTATTTCTGTAGGAATTCGCAGTGGTTTGTAATAAAAGAGAAAAGCCTGGAGTTTGAAAATCATGTTACATAATGTGGGAAGGTGGTTTTTCCCCTCTTTAGTTCACATGCTTTCCTCTGCACTTAGTGACCTGAATGTGAAACTCTGACCTCTGCAGGATCACAGCTGCACTGCATTCCTCACATTTCATTCAAGGTTTTTATCGCATGCTGGAAGAAGTCTGGTGATTCTACATCATTCTGCGTCACTTTTTAGTGTTTTATGCATTTCTTATTGTTTTTTTTTACTTGTTTTTGTATCAACTTCATACCTTAGACCAGTGGTTCTCAAATGGGGGTACGCGGACCCCTAGGGGTACGTTGGAGTACTGCAGGGGGTATGTGAGATTTATTTTATGTTAATGAAAAAAATATATATACCAATTTTAGGAAAAGAAACAAAGTTTGAGCAGTGTGGGTTTTATATTAACAGTTACACATATTTCAAAACACGAAGTGTAATAACTGCAGTTTGCCTTCCTGTTACTCAGAATGACAAAGATCCTCAGTGAAGCACAAGCCCATGTTTCTCACTACATTGTAAATACAACTTATTAAAAATATCAGTTCAATGCAACTAATGTCATCTTAGTGTTATTGCATGATGTTAAAATTGGTTTGCCATGAATTTAGTGATGGATTGTAAACATTTGAAATGTAGCATTTAAGTGTTTCTCAGTTACAATGTTGTTGTTTTAATAAATCAGACACTGATGGTGCATCGCTGTACTGTACCTCTTTATATAGGCTTTTTGTCCCTAACAAATAGTTTTTGCGCTGATCAGGGGGTACTTGGCTGCATTTTTTTTTCAAAGGGGGTACATGATTGAACAAAGTTTGAGAATCACTGCCTTAGACCTTCCATTTTCAGATGAAGCACATCCAAGCAATGATTCAATGACAGTCTGATTTATTAGCAGCCGATAAAGTACGTAAAAAAGACGTTATTTAATAGAAAGACGGTGGCTATGAGTTACCTACGGAAGCCCTGAAAGGCCAAAAAGAATAACAATATTTTGGTAATTAATTGTCTTAGTTGTTTATCTCTTGTGTTTATGACTTCAAAACTAATGGAAACATGCATTTGCTGGGTTATTATTTCCTTAAATCCTTGAAAATTAAGAAATGGCAAGCACATTGTTGTCTTTTCTTTCCTGTGCTAAAAAAACTGGTAAAATATCGAATTATTTGTATTAATTAGTCAGATAAATTCCCCCTTTTTTATCACAATCAATTTCTAAGTGTTGTTGCTGTGATAGTCTCAAATTGTGTGTGAAGCAAGTTATACAACTTTTACTCTACTTAATTACACATTCGAAAAGAGGTGGGAAGAAGTTTACACTTATTTAATCCCACCCCTTCTCCCAAAAACTAAATTATTAACATATATATATTTCTTTTTTTCTTTTTTTCAAACAAACAAAACAACAAATAAAACAACAGATAAATAAACAAACAAATAAACTAACAAATACATAACAGAGGTAAATTATATTCAATGAAAGAAAAAACATTAAACCAAATAAATAAATAAACTGCAAACACCCAGTTATACTTACTTTATATTTTGTTTTTGTTAATTTGTAAATTCAACATGTATATTTTCTACTTTCTTGTTTATTTCTAGTCTTTTTAATTGTTATTGTACAATGCTATGTCTTTATGCTGCTGCAATACAAACATTTACCAAATTGGGATCAATAAAGTAGTTCTTATCTTATCATATCTTATCATAGGACTTAATAACAGAACTGTTTAGGCCACTAGATGTCCCTGTTGTACAAGAGAAGGACACATAAAAAGAAAGGAAAGCTATTAAAGAAGACATTATTGGACAATAGGAGTGTCCCTTTCTGTTTTAACAAAAGCCAGATATGCTCTCCTTGTAGTTTTTACAATACTAGCTGGTTGTGAATGCCACATTAAGTTTGTTATCCTCCAGAATATTTATGAATCTCACAACTGGAGAAAGAAAAACCGTCTTAAATGTGCATCTAAAGGTCTTTGGATTCTAGATAAAGTAGATACAACATGTGAATCAGGGCCAAATATGTGTTTGATGCACATACTGTCAGTCCTTTACAAGATGGTTTCAAACAATAAAAACAAGCTTATTTTTCTTTCTCAGACATCCTTTGTATTACAATAAAGGTAATCTCAGTAGAGTGGAGATCCCCGCCAGGTGCGTCTAGACAAACACCGCAGTGATGTTCGTCTGAATGAATACAAACCACTTTTGATTTACCTTGACATGCAAACAGGAACAATGGACAGAAACAAAGCACAGTTCCTTCACAGAGAAGTAGGTGTTGATCACTATCAGCCTGTTAGGAGAAGGAAGAAGTCTGCGGTAAAAACATTGTAAGGTCTGAGATTGACATGTTTTGTTTTAGGACATAAAATACGTCAGTAAATACCCCACTGGTGAATGTCTGAAGCTTCTATGTGTCATACAAACAGTGTTTGCTGTCATTTAAGTGACTGAATTTAAGTGAATTATTTTCAATGTCAGGGGTTAGTAAGTTAGAATACATGTAATGCTGTGGTTAGGGTATTAGAAACAGAGGTGGGAGAAGTACTCAGATGATCTTACTTGAGTAAAAGAATAAGTACTCAGATCTTGTACTTGAGTAAAAGTAGAAGTACTCAGATCTTGTACTAGAGTAAAAGTAGAAGTACTCTGATCTTACTTGAGTAAAAGAAGAAGTACTCAGATCTTGTACTTGAGTAAAAGTAGAAGTATTCAGATCTTGTACTTGAGTAAAAGTAGAAGTACTCAGATCTTGTACTCGAGTAAAAGAAGAAGTACTCAGATCTTGTGCTTGAGTAAAAGAAGAAGTACTCTGATCTTAATTGAGTAAAAGAAGAAGTACTCAGATCTTGTACTTGAGTAAAAGTAGAAGTATTCAGATCTTGTACTTGAGTAAAAGAAGAAGTACTCAGATATTGTACTTGAGTAAAAGAAGAAGTACTCAGATCTTGTGCTTGAGTAAAAGTAGAAGTACTCAGATCTTGTACTTGAGTAAAAGTAGAAGTACTCTGATCTTAATTGAGTAAAAGAAGAAGTACTCAGATCTTGTACTTGAGTAAAAGTAGAAGTATTCAGATCTTGTACTTGAGTAAAAGAAGAAGTACTCAGATCTTGTACTTGAGTAAAAGAAGAAGTACTCAGATCTTGTACTTGAGTAAAAGTAGAAGTACTCAGATCTTGTACTTGAGTAAAAGTAGAAGTACTCAGATCTTGTACTTGAGTAAAAGTAGAAGTACTCAGATCTTGTACTTGAGTAAAAGTAGAAGTACTCAGATCTTGTACTTGAGTAAAAGTAGAAGTACCAGAGTGTAGGAATACTCTGTTACAGTAAAAGTCCTGCATTCAAAATGTTACTCGAGTAAAAGTAGAAAAGTATTCTCATCAAAATATAGTGAAAGTAGCGACAGTGAAAGTAGTCATCGTGCAGATTGGTCCATTTCAGAATAATATATATTATATGTTTTATAATGATTGATCATTAAAGTGTTCTCAAAGCTGGTAAAGGAGCAGCTAGTTTGAATGACTTTGTATACTGCAGGGTAGCTTGTGGATTTACTCCAGGTGGAACTAAAGTCTGATTTAACACTTGATTATATTTCACATCATTCATCCACATCTGTGAAGTAACTGAAGGTATTAAATACATGTAGTGGAGGAAAAGTACAAAGGTGCATTACATGGAAATACTCAAGTAAAGTACATTCTTAAGTACAGTATTTGAGTAAATTGACTTAGTTTTTTCCCACCTCTGGTTACAAAGTATGTTTAAAATGTCCCCATGTTTTAGATTCTTTAAACATTATTCTTTTCATGCCCTCTGACTGAGAATGTAATCCTTTCCAAGGTACTGTAAGGCAGGACATGTTTTACTGTCATAAAGCGTTGCGGGAAAGCATCTTATCATTCCAGCAAAACTGCTCATTTATCTTGCTCATTTATCTTGCATCACACAGCAATTGATTTCATCACAGTTGAAATACCACTTGGATTCCTTTGAACATTACATGCATCATGCTGCCCAACAACAAACATCTGCAGCACATTTTGTGGAAACTTGGGGAAGATTTTCTTGCCTGAAACTCTGTCTTCTGAAATGTATATGTGTGTTGTTGCAGGAAGACGCTGTGACATCCTGGCTCTGATCTGTTGGCAGCGTAATGTAGTCAGACAAGTCTCTCACTTAAAAACCTTTGCGGTCAAATATTCCCGTAACTCCTTTTCTGTTTTCTTTATACTTGTGCAAAAGGACGAGACAGAGATAACAGAGAATGTTAATATGTTATATTATGAATTATTATACATAAAGCCAAGCAAAGTGAATTCCTATCGAATAAGTAATGTTTTCAAATAAACAAAAGTTTTATTTTGTCCAAATGAAGTGTTTTGTAATGCAAATGAAGTACGGGTGAATTAGTAGATCAAATGTATTTCCTTAGTCCTTACAGGTATTTCCCCACAGGTATTTCCCAAACATATTTCCCCAACATTTGGAGATCCCCAAACATCAACCAAGCCTGCTTTGAATATATTATCTACATTATGGGGGAAGTGTCTGTAATGTGATGTCTTAAAACCATGCTTAAAACACGCTGTTTGCTATTGTGGCAGAGATGACGTGAGAAAAAGTTCACCCAAAAGTGTTTTATTGTTTACTCCAGCTGCTGATTGATTAACTAAACCAGTCTTCCAAACACAGACACTTATGTAGGCCTATTCATCATTACTTTGTAAAAAATCCTATCTTAAAAAATGGCTAAATAAGAGATGATAGATGATAGTTTAATTTTTTGACATTTTCTCTTCCACTTTGATTTTAGTTTTTTAGTTTTACTTGTCAAATGTTTCGCTTAGGGTTCTGTTTAGGTCAAAATGTTCCCTACAGTAAATTACTTTGCTTCATTACGGAACACACAATCACAACATCTTTGTGAGCTAACATGCTAGTCTCTATAACAACAATTATATCGGCCAAACATCAGAATACTAGCCTTGTTGTTGTGAGCATGTTAGCATTGCAACGATAGCATAATGCATGGCCTCTGGCCTCACACAGCTCCTAGCATGGTACACTACTAGGGTTGCCAACCGTCCCGTATTAGCCGGGACGCCCCGTATTTGAGACAAAAGGGGCGTGTCCCGTACGGGACTTTGTTTGTCCCGGACTCCCGTGTAAAGGGAAAAATAAAAAATATGTTTCTGTTTGCGCGCAATGCAGTGTGGCTGCGTGCTGTATGAGAAGGGCGATAGGACCGCTCAGTTGACAGGGCAGGCACAATGCTCGCACGTATGTGTGTGTGTGTGTGTGTGTGTGTGTGTGTGTGTGTGTGTGTGTGTGTGTGTGTGTGTGTGTGTGTGTGTGTGTGTGTGTGTGTGTGTGTGTGTGTGTGTGTGTGTGTGTGTGTGAGAGAGTCAGTCAGCTGATTGATGGGGTAATGCTGGGAAAATGGTTGGTTGAAGGATACCATTAAGTCTAATAATGATGTAGGCCTACCGTGCATGTTCGCATCATGTATACTTTGCATTACTTAAAGGGATAGTGGAAATCCGCGAATTTTGGGTTTAACTTATGTATTTTTATTAAAAATAAGCATAATAAACAAAACATTTTAATTTCATGCGCCTAGTTTCATTTTATTTTCAATTTTACTGCGCCCTCTCAATGAAACGAAATACTTCGGGAATCGTCGGGAATCTTCGGGTGATGACGAGAGCATAGGAAGACGGGCACAAACAATGGCGGACATTCAATAGCATTTGCATGTGAATAGCCGACCTTTATTATGGTGAATAGATGTGTCAATACTTTATACCGAGTATATTGCCATAAATATGATGATTGATTATCAGTAAAAAATTCTACGTGACACAACGACATTGGATTAACCTTGAGATGCGTTTTTATTCCGTTGAACACAACTTTTGATCACAAATCAAAAAAGGTAAGACGTAATTATTGTAATATTTTTGGAACCGGATGTTGTTTACATTCTCTTTTGTGGCTGATAGCTCCAGGAATTCGAGGTCTTACAGTGATGACATTACATCTGTGGAGTCTCAGCTTTAAATCGTATATCTTGTTTGTGCAGTTAAGATAGTAATAAGGGCATTTCTACCGTGTGTTGTGTGTAAAAAAGCGTTAGCATTAGTTAGCATTGTTTCGCTCAATGCTAATTCAAAGGCTTGGTATTACTCGCGTTTTTTCTAGCTAACAATTGTTCTTATTTTCAGTTAGCGGAGTTTCTTACCTTTAAAAGGGTATGAAACATTAATAGTTTCATAAATGTTAAGAAGCCCTGAGACATGTGAGAGAAAAAAAACTGTGGGGACCTTCGGGCTTAACTGGTTAACAATGATTAATATTTGTAAAGGCTACAGGTGATCTTAAGATGCGTGAGCTATGCTTAGGGACCTACCAGTCAAGATTATTTGTGCGTAGGGGTGCATCATCTGGCGCCTGGTCCTGGTCATCCTCGCCATTGCCCATGCCGTGAACCATCACCTCGGGCTCGGGCTCGAACAAATAAGGACGTAATGGTCCATCGTCTGGCTCAATATTGTCACCATCGTCGCTTACTGAACCGGATTCAGATTCAGTTCCTAAAACGACATTTTCGTAGGAAAGCCGAGAGGATGTTTCTGACTCGCTATCATCACTGGATACCTCGTACAATCCTTCTTCCTTGTCTGGTATATTTGCCCTTCCACGTTCATTTTGCATAGACGCCATGGTTTGTTATCGTATCGTCTTCCTGAGTTTTCGTCACTTCCGGTTTGGCTGAGTCGAACATTTCGTTTCTAAAAAACTTCGGGGAAGCTGCAATAAAGTGCTTCTAACATGCGTAAGGCAATTATTATATTTTTTTAATCAGGTGTGATTGTTTTGGTACGTAATTATGCTTGTATATAAGTTAAAACGAAACTATTTGAGGTTCCATTTCCACTATCCCTTTAATACAATTTTTCAAATATTTTATTTTTGAATATTTTGGACAAAATAGCCAATTGTACATCGAGGTGCCCAGATGTCCCTAGTGCCCACCTATCCGATTTGAACATGCTGATGTACAATGTGATCAGGGTTGGGAGGGTTACTTTGTAAATGTAATCAGTTACTGATTACTGATTACATGGCTCTGAAAGTAATCCGAATACAGTTACAGTTACGTGTCTTAAAAAAGTAACGTAATCAGATTACTTTTAGATTACTTTTGGATTACTTTCTTTTTCCATCACAGATGAGTATGTTTTGGTGTACAGGAGACACAAAAAGCAAAAGGACACTGAATGTGTTTTTACTGTTTTAATGGCTTATCAAGAGCACAACTGAAACATAACATCTGAAACGATGTAACAACATAATAAACTTTTTGGGGATGCAGCTTGGGATGTGAGGAGTGAGGGACACGGCTTAGAACGGGCGTGTCGCCTTCTGTCCTGCCAGTGTTGGCAGGACATGAATTACAATGTCAAACTCGGACTTCATTTTAAGGACATTTCGGCCAGGGGTGTAGAGCTATATTTGTTTAACCACCAGATTGGCAAAACAGGAGAGTGTGTGCACCAGTCTGCCTTGATCTATGAATTCATGTCCGTGACTCTCACAGTATCTGCTGCCCGCAGCTGTTTTATAGAAGGAAAACCTCCTTCACTTCATGAAATCTCTGCAGCACCAGGAGGCAGCGGGAGGGTTAACTCAGCCTCTGAGAAGACGAGCGCGCCGCGCCGTGCCTTTCACGCACCGCCTTCACTGTGTTTACCTTCAGAAATAATCATTAGTAAGGCTAAAGAAAGAGCGACGGCAGGCTGATGTGTTTTAACCACACACACACACACACACACACACACACACACACACACACACACACACACACACACACACACACACACACATACACACACACCACACACACACACACACACACACACACACGATTTAAACGCAGACTTTTGTTCCTCCATGTTTCGTTGTTATTGTTTCACTGAGCGGAACCGCGATTTTTTTTCAAACGCTTTTTTGGTCCATCTGCGGCGGTAATAGGTTTTGTGCGCTGTGATGATTCGGCTTTAGTAATGAATTTTAAATGTTGTGAGGAAATCTTTCCACCAATAATTCCAATAAGTAATCCAAAATGTATTCACTTCAGGTTTACGAAAGTAACTGTAATCAGATTACTCGTTTTTCAAATGTAACGCGAGCTGAATACAGTTAGCTCAGAGCCATTATACGGCTCTGAGTTAGCTACTTGATTTTTGTATTCTGATTACGTAACGCCGTTACATGTATTCCGTTACAACCCAACCCTGAATGTGATGTAGTAGCCTAATGCAGGTGTAAGACCATTGTGTTTGTATTGTGTTATAGGTATGCATAGTTGTCTATGCATTTTGACGGTTTTGGGGGGTTTGACCCCCAAAAACATTTTCGAACCCTAGGGGCTGGCTCCCCCAAAATAATTAAATAACATAACCCTAACCATAAAACCGAAATAAAGTAACAAAAAAAAGTAACTAAATCCGCCAGAAACCCGAAAATCTTCGCGCGCTCGCGCGCGGGGGACACATGTCCCGTTTCTCCATTTCTGGAAGTTGGCAACCCTATACTGCGTCTTAAAAAGGAGGACCGTTCGCTGAGTACACTGCAGGTTTGTTAACACTTGCTCAGTGTGTGAATTTCGACTGTGTAGAGTTTTCTCAAATTGCACACAGCAGCTGTTGCCTCAAGTAATGACTGGCTATCAACGTTAGCGATAGCTGTAGCAAATCACTACAGATTGCTTCACTGACACAATAAATGTACAGTAGATTATTTTCAACACCGATATATTGGTATTAAATAGTGAAAAAAACACATGAGCTTCTTCTATTTCTATATTGCTTTGGTCGCACAACCTCCATTACTTAAGTATGTAGCCTTTGTTTGCATTGGGATGTACTTCAGCTTTTAAAATATCACATGTCATTACAAAAATACGTAAATGCAAATTCATTCATTTAAATTGGAAGAAGAATACATGTATTTCCTCATTGTTCATTTCCAAACCTATTATCTCAATGCGTTGGAGATCCCCTTTTTATTTTGCCACGCCTTTGTAAATACCGAAAATATAGTATTGACGGACGTTGCTTCATTACGGAGTGTCCGTGAGAAGTGTCTCATGCGATGATGTGCGTAGTTTTGGCTCAGATTGCATAAGTGACTAACAAGTACAGTAAGTGAGTTACCAGAAAAGTTTGTTTATTATTCACTCTAGCTGCTGATTGATCGACTGAACCAGTCTTACAAGTCCAATCTGCCTCAGGGGTTGAATAACAAAGTCTTGTGTAGTCATTATTATTTAATTACACATGGTGTCTTATATTCATACTTATATGAAAAACAGGGTTCACACAAGGTAAAAATAAAGATCAAATAGAATCAAAATTGAAATAATAATTAAAAAAGTGACAAAGTAACTGTTGAAACAAGATATCACAGTAAAACCTTGAGCTTTTGAATGAACATGTTAAATATATTTACATAAGTGTGCAGATGTGAGTGCATGCTAAAAATAGCATGGAGTAGACATGTAAAAAATACATTTGGATTAAAGGTACAACGATTAAATTGTGCATTAAAAGGAGGATATTGCAAATTCAACACACAATCAGGTGACAGGTTAAAATGTATCGCGTTAAAGTAACTTAAAAAACATATGAATCTTTAAAGGAGGTTAATCTTTCTGACTCACACTCCGCCCTCTTCTTTTGTTTTTTCCTTGCGTGACGTCTTTGTCCTCAATCAAATCTTGGAAACTCCCATTGCGACACCTGCCTGTATAAAACAAGGGACAGATGGCTCTTCTGTGATTTCAGTGCTACACATATGATTTCACCATGATGGATCTGGTAACGTTTGAGAAGGAGAACCGTAAGCGTATCCAAGCCGTTGAGAGTTCATTCGGCCCGGCAGGGAGGCATCTATGCCAGCCAGGGAGAGTTCTGGTGGGTCAGGGTCGTCTCATGAAACAGGGACGGAGGAAACCTGAGCCTAAAGTTTTCTTTCTGTTCAACGACATGCTGGTGTACGGCAGCATCATCCTGAAAGGCCGCTGGCACAAAAAACAGAAAGTCATCCCTCTAGGTAAGCAGAACACTAGATAGTCCGACAGATTCAATTCAAATGTTTTATTGTCATGTGCACAAAGCTACAGTGTAGAAATGGCAATGAAATTCTTCTGACCTGAGCTCCTCCAACAATGCAACATATCTAATAAAATACAAAGTAGTGCAAAAAGTCTATACCTGCATAACGATGATCTGATGGTATCTATACCTCTGTAGAAGCTTTAGTGATCAAGTATTTGTTTTAGTTTGGCTCTCTTGTGACTTTGTATTCACGTGCATAAGATATCTGCAACAGCAATTCAATGGAGGTGCATGGAATTTAAAGTATGCTGCACAAAACAATGACAACATATCAGCATGCTACCTTAACTACTCAACTGAGTAAAGTGCACTTCGCCAATTTTGGACATACCAATTACATTTGAGTTTGGTCAATGTAGTTCTAAATGTTTCCAAAAAAAATACTGGAACAGCCCCATGTCTTCATTTACGATCAGGTTAAACAAGTGTGGTTAAAACAACCCTTTCTTTTAAAACACATGATGGAAATACCAATTAGAGTTGAGTTTGGTCAATGTACTTTTGTAATGTTTGAAACACCTCACAACACCTGTTGTATTGATGCACCTGAAGAAGTTTCAAAAGTTGTTAACCCAAAGCCTTTACAATTAAATTATCAGTACAGCTGAATACTGCATGGGTAAGGTCAGAAAATATATTTATTTGACAGCAATCAACTCAACTAAAATGACAAATATCCACCTCAAGTCTTTCTGTACAAGCGTGTTGACCACACCATAGTATCCATGTGTTTTTTGCACTGTTAACAATATCTTCCCTGTCATTTCAGAGGACATCATGCTAGAGGACATGGAAGACAAGGAGGGATTGAGTTACGAATGGCTGGTCCGTACACCATGCAAGTCGTTTTTTGTGTCCGCCGATTCGCTCGAAGAGAAGCAGACCTGGATGGAGCACATTGGAAACAGCCGGTTAAACCTTCTGCAGCGGTGTGGCAGCCGACCCGGATCCACGTTTGCTGTAACCTGGATCCCAGACAAGGCCGCCTACAAATGCATGCGCTGCTTCAACATTTTCAGTCTCATCAAACGCCGACATCACTGCCGGAAATGTGGCTTTTTGGTCTGCAATGCATGCTCCAAGCAGCGAGCAGTGATAGATCACATTCACCCCACAAAGAGGTTGAGGGTCTGCTGTCTCTGCCACAAGAAGAAGGAGGAGATGTCTCGACTGAGAGGAGACATCACTAGAAAGAGAAGTACAGAGGAGGATGATGAGGGAGCATGCAGTGAAGAGGAAGGAGGAAAGACAATGCAGAATCAGGTTTCCAGCAGCTGGCTAGACTACCAGAATGGAAACTGGGGA